AGATTTTTCCTTAGAGAATGTATCTCTAGAGATAGAATATAACAATCATAGGCTAGGTGGTCCTCTACTACCCGCAAGAGAAGAGGTGCCTAACAAGGAGAAAAAAAGGTATGAAGAGTCCAGACTTGCTTTGGCTTAGTTCTTAGGAACATTTATCTTTCCAAGGGAGCTTAATTTCATTTATTTAATTATGAGTAGAAGATTTTTTTTAAAGAGCCTAGAAGAGTCCAAGCTAAAAGTGCAAAATACAAGAAACAAACTTATAAAGCAAGAAATTTTTAATGCATAATTAACTTAAAGAAAAATTTTAAAACTAAATAAAAAAAATTTAAGAATGAAGGCCATGTGGAAAGCATCACTTAATTACAAACTAGGGTCTGCTGGAAAATAAATGTTGACCAGGCTCCACTAGAAAAACCTGGACACTATTCCTAAGAAACAAAGTAAGTTTCTATTTAAATAAAGCATTTCTTTTGTCCTAAAATTTACTTGGCTTTTTTCTTTGGGCTCCATATGTTCATTTGGTTTGGGTATCTAAAAGGAAAGAACCCTCTATTAAAGGAATTTTCTTTCATCTTTAGACTCCAATATTAGAGAAAATGATTTGTTTTATGAGCACTCACGACTATAAATTATTTTACATTTGAAAATTTAAAAGGAGCTCTATACTCCCTACTTGATATCCAAAAATGTTCACATGAAATATTATCCATGAAATCCCAAGCATAAATCATTTGCTCATTTTGTGAAAATATATCAACATTTACGTGCTTGTAATCATTAGGGTGTTTGGCAACAAAGAGAATCTAAAGAAACTTTTTTAATTAAAAATTTTAATTATTGTTATCCCTCTTTTTATGGTTAAGCATAACCATGACCACCTATAGAAAATTTGTAAACATCTAGATCATTTCTAACCTAGGAAAATCTAAATGTTCATCATTGATTACAATAAAATCTCTTTAAAGTTTATGAAAAGAATTAATAATAAAATTACGTCATTTATTCTTCAAAATAAGAGTATATTTCACAATAAAGATAAAATCACAAAAGAAAAATGAGCTAGCCTATAGCCAAAGTTGGTTATCCTAGCAAGAAATCTATAGTGTATGAAAGGAGGTTGTTTGTTTTGGATATTTTTTAAGTTTGATGTGAGTTAAATTTCTATAAGACTTGAGTTTTATTTTTTCAAGGGTTAGGGGTATTTAATTTAAAGTTAAAGTTTTATTGTTTTAATATTTATTTTTAAAATGAATTTTTTAAATGTGAAAGTTGATTAGTGCTTGGTACTCAAGCTTTAATATTTTTATCTGTCACTTAATCCTTAAATCCTTAGGAATCTAATACACGTATGTCCTACAATTGGAATCTATCATAAGTCATAAAGGCTCCCATTTATTTGTAATTTATTACAAGTTATTTAAGTTGAAAAATAATATCATTTGTTTACATCAGAGCCATAAGGTTTATTTTACCCTCTTTGGGGCTAACATAATAGCCTCGTAAGTCATGGTTACCCAACAATTGAATTGTTACTTAATAAATATATTATGTTTTTATAACTAGTTTATAGATTTAAATTACATTATTACTTCTTTTATAGTAAATTATTATTTTATTGTTTACTTATCATTGATAAGTTCAAAGCATTATCACAACGGGATCAAGGACATAGCCTCACAGCTCCAGGTAGTCCAATCTATAAATCAAATTGATGAAGTGTACAAATTTTATTATTGATTTATTCTTTTATTTGAGTTCATTATGTTGATTTAATTCTGAAATTGTGTGTTTTAATATAACTTATTTAAATATTTGATTATTATTCTTATGTATGGCGACACCTAGGTTTGCAGTTATCTCAACCCAAAGTTATTTTTGACACTTTGGGTTAGTCTAATTCCTAACCCAAGTGAACATAATTGTTGGGCCATAAAGGATAGGTGTAAAGGGTTATAAAGGACCTAATACAAATATTAGTTTCACTCAATTTTAATTGGTTTGAGAATTGGCTCAAGGGATGGCTCTCTTGAGTTGTTAGGTCATGCCAAGTGGCTAAACCAAATGAACTCAAGGGTTCCGTTTATGGGACCCAAAAAAAAAATCCAAAGGATTTAATTTGGTTTGGTGATACTTTGAGCATTACATTAAAATTTATTTTCAAGTGTAAGATTAATTGGTTAAAAAAAGTTGACATGGTAAACCAGGTTTGACTAAGGGTTGGGGTTTGGCCCAATTATTTAAAAATTATGTTTTTGACTTAATGGAAGTTGTCTGGTGCAATGGGGATGTATCCAAGTTCAAAATGCATGTGTGAACCCTAAAGGGGCAATTTGGTAAACTATGATTAACTTGATCAACCACACTTGACCAAGGAATAGGTTTAGATTCATTCAAATCTAAATGACATTTAAAACTTATTACAATAGGTCTCATGCAATGCAGAGGCATCTATAGGTTTGAAGGTTTTTCTGATAAATTATGTTTGACTTAGTTAACTAAGGTTGACCAAGACTTGAGTTTGAGTTCAATACATCCAAAAAAAAATTAGAATGTATTAGAAGAGGTTTTAGTGGTTGGTTTGAATGAGCTATTTTAAAGTTTGTTAGATTAATTAATTTTTGAAGGCTTTCGGGTTTTGGGTTTAAGTGACTTCATGGTCAACCATAGTCAACTATGGTCTACTATGGGCTCAAAATTTATTCGGTGCAAAATGATAATGATTATGAACATGATCAATTGTTTTGGGAAAGTTTCCAAAATAATTTTCCATAAGATGCAAGGTCTAGTAGCATAGGCTATAAATATTTGATGGTTTTACATCCTTTGGAAATCAATTTTGTTTTTAGTGGTTAGAGAGCTTAGATTTCTATCAAATATGGAGAGTCGACCGTATGAACATATCTAATCAATATGAAAATGATTAATTATGAATCCAATGTCATTTTATAGCATTATGGGATGATTAAAATTTCATAAGAAATAAGCCATTCACCTAAAGCTTTTGGACTTTGCAGCACTAGTAGAAAGGTCTGGATTTCTAGAGGGAGAATATTTGTATTTCTAGAGAGAGAAAGTTTTCCACTTGGTTTGAATTTGGTTTTTCGCGGGCTTTCTGTGGTTGGTGGAGTAGGCATTGGATGATCGACGGTTCTTCTTTGCCGGTGTCATGAATGCTCCGCAATCCTCTGCGTACCATTGGTAGAGCTGGGAATGGCATTGTGATCAGAGAAGGGGTGAGACCTCCGAGCCATCAAGGTCTAGTTGAGGGCAAGGGGAAGAATGTTATGGTGGAGAATATGTCTGGGAAGAAGATTATGGATTTGAAGAGAAATCCATGTATGGCCATTCTTTAATCTTCATCTTCTGATGACTTAAGTTTATGGGTGAATAAGTTTTCTGGGGTTCTTGATGTGCACAATGGTCGCAATATTGCAAATGACCTGAATTCTATGGAGGGTCAGAAGGTTGATGATAATAGGGATTATGTTAAGGATCCTGTGAAAGATTTGATGAGTATTAAAGTCTCAAAGACCAATTTGAATGATAACCCCAAACAGGGGGGCATTGGTGAGGTTGCTGAAGCCTGGTTGAAACCGAAGCATATCAATATAACATTTAAGAGGAACCAAGTTGAATTTTCTAAAGATGGTATTGCAGTTAGGCTTAATTCAGACATTGAGGCAAAGAATTCACAAATCTTGAAGAATTCGATTGTAGTTAAAGTGTTGGGAAACAATGTGCCTTTCTCTGTTTGTTGTGTAGAACTGAGAAGGCAATGGAGCAAATACGGTTGATTTCATTTGACGTCAATTGGTATGGACTGGATTTTGTGTTCTTTTAAGTAGGATGAGGTTGTGGAAGAAATTATGAATGGCGGTCCTTGGTACGTGAGTGGATACATTGTCGGCATGGACAGATGGTCCCCTGCTTTTGATCCAAATTCATTTAAGGGAATTTCCCCTCCCGTCAAGATCAGATTCCTGTGCTTTCCTTTGTACTACTGGGACGAGGATAATGTAGCGAGAATTGCTTCTCGCATTGGGTCACCAAGGTACATAGATGCAATACTTTTTATAGGGGTAAACGAGAGTTTGCTTGTGTCTATGTAAGGATAGATTTGGAGAAAAAACTACTGAATGGTGTTTGGGTAGATGGTTTAGCTGGGAGATTCTTCCAACGGGTGGAGTATGATAAAATTGATCTTCTGTGTTATCAATGTGGCAGAGTGGGTCATGACAGGAAGGCTTGTCCCAAAAAATGTAACTCTTGGTACTGAAGACCAAACAATGAGGAAGACGGATGTAGTAACAGAGGAAAGTAAGAAGGTTGTTCCTGACAGTAAATCTTATGTGATCAGTTTCGAGTATGGCCCATGGATTCATGTTCATTTCAAGAACAAACGAGTTACTAGAGATAAAGTCACTAGTAGAGGAGTGATTGGCAATGGGATTAACACTGATAGCAGGGGAAATAATAACCAAAAGGTTATTGTGCAGGAGGAAATTCAGCAGATGGAAGTGGCATATGCTGCTGTAGAAAAGTCTGCCCTGGCTCCAGAAAAATGCTCAGGAACTGAGGAAGCTGCTGGTGAAAAGATGCTAGAAATTCACTTAACCAATAGGTCTGCTGCTTTGATTGATAACAATAAAGAAGGAGGTATTGGAAAACATGAAGGAAATGACAAATTAACGGATAGTGGTATGAACATAGCTGATCCAGACGTCAGTCACATGGATATGGTTTCTCATAGTGGTGCTGCCAAGATTAAATTAGCCAAATAATTGAGATCATTGGGGCCAGTTGAACCTAATTATAAAAAGAAGAAGAGGGATGGAAGGTTGAATTCCATTAATGGCGAGAGATCCCCTGCTCTTGTTTAAATGTCATCCATCTTATTTTGGAATTTTAGGGGGGCTAGGAAAAAAGAGGCCTCCTTATATTTAAAGGAGATTGTTAGAGACCATGATGTGTTCTTTATTGGTCTTTTGGAGACCAAGATGACTAGCATTGATAGAAGGGAGGTTAATTGTCTTATTGGGAACGATTGGGAGTATTTTCACTACCCTGCTGCTGGTACCTCAGGAGGTATTTTGGTGTTATGGAACAAGAAGATGGTGTCATTTGTTATTAAGGAGAATTCTTCTCAAGTTATTGTTGGTGATCTCTCGGTTCCCAACATGGGGTCTTGTAAAGTTGCCACTGTATATGGGAGTAGATGCTGTAAGGAGAGGGGAAGTCTTTGGAGTCAACTTGAGAAGTGTTTGGATGATTCAATTCCTTCCATTATTGGTGGGGATTTTACCTGTATGCTGAACAAGGAGGAGAAGAGAGGAGGTAAAAGGTTCTTGTTTTCAAAAGGACCTAGGGAGATGAAAAGCTTTATGATGAATTAAGATTTTCATGATGTTGGAAGTATTGGACCAAGGTTTACTTGGTGCAACAACAAAGAGGGAGCCTCTCAGATATGAGAGAGGTTGGACAGATGTTTGTTGAACTCGGTTGCTATTCAGAAGCTTCCATTTGCTACTATCAGGCATCTTGCAAGAGTGGCTTCTAACCATAGTCCAATTGTTCTTAAATTGGATGAAAGGGTGAGGTTCAAGTCAAAGGCTATCAATTTTGAGGATACTTATAGATCTTACCTAGAAGCTAAGAATTTTGTGTATCACTCTTGGAAGAAGAATGACTTTGGTGATGAGCATATAATCTTGCAAAAGAAGCTTAGGAGAACATTAAAAGCACTATTTTTTTTGAATAAAAATAAGTGCAAGGATTTGAATATGTTGAAGGAAAAGATGAAAAAGGAAATCCTAGAACTTCAGAACAAGGAAGCTTTGGGGGAAGATTGGTCAGTTGATGACCTTTTTTTGCTTAGAAACAAAGTGCATGATTTTAATGTCACATTGAGAAGATTGTCTACTTGGTGGAATCAATGGGCAAAAGAAAGTTGGCATGAGGAAGGAGATACAAACTCAAAGCTTTTTCATAACTTTGCTACGGCTAGAAAAAATGGTAACCGGATAAATCAAGTTAAAGATGTGTTTAATAAATTGCAAGATGGGGATGATCAAATTGAGAAGGTCTTCATACAATTTTTTGAAAATAAGTGGAAATACAAGAATTGTGAATTTATGGGCTGACTGTTGGCTTCAGAAAATCAAAAGGTAATGGAAGAGGATTTTTCTTTGCCAAATGCTGATTTTTTTGTAAGTGATATATAGATTTCGGTCTTCCAACAAGGAAACAATAAGTCACCGGGTATGGATGGTGTTACCTCTTCTTTTTACAAGAGATATTGGAGTATTGTTTGGGAGACTTTATGGAATGCCATTAGTTGCTTTTTAAAGTCTAGTCATATGAATAGGGAATGGAAAGATACTCTAATAGTCTTAATTTCTAAAGTGAAGAACCCTTTGATTCCATCTAACTATAGGCCTATCGGCCATTGCCAGACTAACTATAAGATTGTGGCTACCATGTTAGTTAACAGATTGAAGAACTGTATTTCCAAGATGATTTCTAAAGAGAAAATGGCATTCATTCCTGGAAGATCTATTTCGGGGCATTGCTTTTTGGCTCAGGAGATCTTTCACAAGTTCAAAATCTCTAAAAACAAAAAGGAGTTGATGGCTATAAAATTGGATATGGAGCAAGCATATGATAGCATGGGTTGGACAACTCTTCGTCAAATTCTTAAATGGTATGGTTTTCCTACTGATTTTTCTAACCTTCTCGTGGTGTGTGTTGTAGATGTGAGGTTTTCCAATATTATTAATGGAAAGAATTCCAAGTGGATCAATGCTCAAAGTGGGTTCCGTCAAGGGTGTCCACTTTCACCATACCTTTTTATCTTGTGTTCTCAAATTATGTCCAACTCTCTAGAGCAAAGAGGGCAGACTCTTGACATTCAACCCAAAGGTCCAAACATCACACATCTACTTTATGTAGATGATGTGTTTATTTTTTCGCATGTCTCTATTACCTTAGCTAATACCTTGAAGATCATGGTGGAGGACTTCTGTAAGTGGACAGGTCAAAGAGTTAATTTCAACAAGTCACAGATTATTTTTGGCAAGGTTGTTAGTTACCTTATGAAGAAGAGGATTGCTAGAGTACTTGGCTTCAAAGTGGTGAAGGAGATGAAGTACTTGGGTGTAAAGATCTCACTTAGTAGACTCAAGATGGCTAATTTTCAAGAGCATTTGAGTAATATCATGGATAGACTTAATGCTTGGGGTAAGAAGTCTTTTTCAATGGGAGGTAAGCTCACTCTTATTGAAAGCTCTTTGCTTTCAATGCCAAATTTTTTAATCACACATTCTTTGGTTTCCAAAAGGGTGTTACATGAGTTGGAAAAACTTTGTAGAAAATTCATTTGGCATAAAATTGATGGGACTAATGGTATGCATTATGTTGCTTGGGGAGAAATTTGCAATTTGAGAAGTATGGGAGCACTGGGTTTGCATTCTCCTTTACTCAGAGTTGGAACTCTAAGATCTAAATTGACCATGAAATGTAAATATGGTAGTGATATTATAGATGGTGCTCAAAAGAAGATTACCTCTAGTGCTTATCAAATTTTGTTGGATGGTGGAAGACATTTGAAAAATGCTATTAGATTAAAAGTGGGCATGGGTGACAAGATTAGTGTCTTAAATGATGCATGGTTGCTTGATAAATGCATCAATCGGTGGCCAACATTTATTGATTGTTATTTGCTGGATGGTGTATATGTACAATAGCTTTTGCTAAGTAATGGGAAATGGAATTATACCGTGCTACAAAGGGCCTTCCATCATGATTTAATCTTATTGATCAGCCAAATTCATATTGAATATGAGGTGGAGGATCGGGTGGAGCTGCTGAACATGTGCTCGGGTAAAACAGTTTCTGCATTGGCTTATGAGCAATTGTTGTTTAACAGATTTACCTTGGAGGATGATGGGTACTGTAAATGAGTGTAGAAGCTTAAACTAAAGAAAAAGGTGGAAATTTTCTAGTGGAGGCTTGGTAAATCAGCAATTCCAAGAATGCTTTATGTGCTAGAGGCTGCCAGTCAAATGAAACATATGAGCATATTATGGTTCATTGAAAATATATGGTTGAAGTTATTGTGAAAATGCTTGATTGGGGCATTAATATCCCTATTTTCCATTCTCTGGATCGCTACTTACAGGAGCTAAAGATGCTAACAGCTAGTAATTGCTGGGATTGTTAAAATTTACTACACCATTGTTTACCTTTCTTGGAAGAATCAGAATGATGTCAAGCATGGTAAGGCTGCTTTGCCATGTTCTATGGTAGTTTCTAATGCTTTATTCTTATCTATTTCCATATCTAGTCCATATCTTTCTAGCTGGGGTACTAATCTTCTTAGAGAGTCTCAAAATACTTGGTGCCCTCAACCGAAAGATTGGATTAAGATTAATGTGGATGCTTCATTGCTTAGTTCTAATCTTGCTAGAATTGGTGGCATTTTTAGAGACCACAAAGGCAGATTTATCAGTGCATTTGGAAAGAATAAAGTCCATTGGGATATTGCTCAGCTTGAGCTGGAAGCTGCAATCACGGTAAGGGAATTCATAAGAAGTTGGATGTTGGAATGCAAAGGGGTGATTATTGAGAGTGATAACATCAACATTATTACATTAATTCAAGACTCTTTTAAGAAGAATAAGTGGCATGTGGATAGGTGGCCGGCGAAGGATTTATTTTTCTGGAATGGCTTCAAAAAAGTAGTTTTCCATCATGCCTATAGAAGTTGTAATAAAGTAGCTAATTGGTGTGCTACTATGGCATTGGAAAGTAGTTTCTTTTTTGATAGCTTTTCTTTTGATAAGATTCCTTCCTTGTTGTTGAACTTAATCAAGGAGGAATGTGGTCCTTTTATTACTTGTAATTAGTTACTTTGTTCTTAATGCAACTTGATGCAATTCCTATTAAAAAAAAAAACCTAAAGCTTTTGGCTTTGATTTTGGCATGAGATTTTGTTTTTTTGTTTTGGCCTATTGAATTAAATTTTGATTACTAATATCATTGAAAATCATTTACGTGTTTTAAAATGATTGATTAATGGTTCAAATAACAATCACAAGGTGAGTATCAAATGAAGGGTTAAGATTTGAGTTTTTTTTATTTGGATTTTATTTTAAGAGGATTTAAATTTTATTTGAAATTATTATGGATGTTTTAGCTAAACCCATTCAAAAATGAGTTAAACAAATGAACCCCCAATATGTGTAGTAAAATGAAGTTATACTGCACATATTGGCATTGACTAAATTAATAAAATTTTAGAATGACAAGATTCAAGGTTAGAAATTCCCTAGGAAAGGAAGCATGGGGACGCACACCAAACATTAAATCTAAGGGATGCTAGTAGGGGTCCTATACCTATTAGAAAGAGTTCTTATAAATTTAATTTACCATTAGATCTAATACTATAGGAAAAATAATTATTTCTAGAGAACATTTGGTAATCAAGAGGCTACCAAAAATAGCAAGGAAATAACAATGCATTTTGCGAAGAAAATTGGTAGGAACTTCTCTAGTGGGTTTCTGACAAAAAATACATTAAAGGTTTTAACAACATTTCTTAAAAAAAAAAAAAACTCACAGGTTTAAGTAGGATGATGATATTTTTTGAAAGAAATTTCATCAAAGATTTTGCTAAAATAAGACCGACTTTAAAATTCTGCTCTCTCTTTGATATTTTTCTACAAATTTTTAATTGAATAACATAACCTCCACTTTTCTACTCCCATTCACCAAGCTACCTGTGAAAGCCCTCTCCCATTCCACTCTTATTTGCTTTTTAGTTCAATGGAAATTCCATTGGTAATCTAACTCGTTCCCTGAGCCCATAAATTGTAACCGTTACCAATCGTATGTTTTCTCACTATCCATAAGTTTTCTTTAGGAAACTTTTTTTTATTATTACTTTCCAATCAACACAATTGACCAGTTTTTTATTTTATTTTTTGCATCACTTTAATTATCAATTCTTTTAATTGACTTTCTAGATTGTCTTACAAATTTTAAAAATGGATATAGGTAAGAAATTGTTTTAAAAAAATTAATGTATAGAATAACTAATTAAATTATGTAAACCATACTTGTGATATTTCTCATTCTTCCTATGTTTAATCATTAAAAGGGATGTACTCATTTTCCAATATTCTATTTCATAGGTGTGAATATCCTTCTTGGAACAAGTTCCATAAATAATAAATATTTAATTTATTAAAGGAAGAGATGTACATTTATAAGAAAAGATAAATGGAATGTTATCATAATAGAGAGGTTATGTATTAGATAGTCTTCTGAGGTATAATGACCATTATAGGATCTACTTTTAAAGTTAAAATCTTAAATAAAGTAAAAGCTTTTATAGTAATTATGGTGTATAGCCATAACACAAAAGAGGGAGGGGGGAGGGAGATCACTATATCTTAATTTTAAAACCCTTTTTTTATTTTCACTTTGAAACTATTTTTATTTTTTGTTTTACTTAAATGTAATGAGTACACATGAACACTATGAGAAGTAAAAGTTCTTGACTAAAACAAACTATGAACTTCATCAAATATATTACACATTTTGTAAGACAAAAATTAAAGCAAATTATAAAATTAAGTAAATAATGGGAAAAAAATTTGTGCAACAAAATTTTATATGGTTTAGTAGCAATGCTTAGTTCAATGCCTTTAAACCTCCACCAAGAGGATTCTCTGCTCACTATTATGATCACAACAAGGTGAATAAGCCTATTTATTTAAATTATAATGGAGAAACTCTACACCTTCATCTTCTTAATCTCAGTTGAAAGAACACTTCTCGCTAATGAATAATAATTTTTTTATAAAGATGTTATACGTAATAAAATTTAAAATAGTAGGCTCAAGGAGATTATATTTATATTTAGAATGAGATGTTAGAACTTACCACATTTTACTTATGCTACAGAAGTTTTAAAATGCAAATATAACTTTATTTTTATAGTGTCTCCAAATATTTAGTGCAAATACAATCTTTAAAAACTTCATATTGTGTGTAGGATAAATTCTTTATATTGCATATATTAGAAACCAAGTGAGGGATCCTATGGGGGATTTGTTTATTATTTAGAATACTGCATTTGGTCGTATGTGGTAAGTGGAATGTAGTAGGGACAATTATATGGATTAGGATTGCAAGCGTATGCTTATGAGGCATAATCTTGTTAGTGGCTTTAACTTCTTAAGAAGCATCCATGAGAGTTTATATAGCCATTAGGGGGTAGCCCTTACAGCAGAGTTAGAGTATGTCCAAAAATCATAAGCTTACATGCATATGAATATACAAACGCAAAAAATTTAAATGATGGGGGAACTACAGAGAATCAAAAAGAAGTTTAGTAGAAAGAAAACATTATTGGTAGAGGAAGAGAATGACCAAATAGATTCTGACTACTAAATGTATTTGTAGATTTTATGCTGAGTTTTTTTTTTTTTTGGTATAAGAATTAGATATTTAGTAAAGTACTTTTGGAAATTATAGAACATTTACTTTTGATTAAATGTGTTATTACTCTTGCATCAGTATTTATGTGCAATGTTGAAATATGAGGATAATAAATGAGCTATTTTTTGTCTGTGTTATAGGTTTTTGAGATATTTTCTACAAATTATTTGTTGAAAAATAATGATACAATAGATTGTTGACCTCAATTTTCGCTCGAATATTCCGTTGTCCTCAATTTTCGCTCGAATACTCTAGCACTTTCGATTGATTCGATTAGTCCTTGTCGAGCCCGGTTCGAACTCGAGTCGATCCGAATTGAGCCAAATTTGACTCGACTCTGTTCGATCAAGCTTGAATAATTTATTTTGACTGCGAAGAGCTCAATTTCACACGAATCGTCTTTGATTTGATCAAATCGATTGAGCCTAGCCCACTTTTAAATCAAGGCGATTTGAATCCATTTACTCTGACGGGCAACGGTTTCGAAGGATAGGATTTCCCCGAAACTCAAATTCTGTCATGGTTTCAGGCTTCAGTCGCGTGATCACTACTTTAGTGTATTTGTCGGAGTCTCGAAGGGGCATCTGGGCGACATAATGCCATATTGAGCTTTCGGAGCAGAAAAGAGAGCATCAGAGAGACGTTAGAAGGTCGGGAGGAGGCCTTCGGTTAGGGCATTCGGACTCCCCTGAACCCCGTCTCTAAGTTTCGCACTCCCCTGGACCCCGTCTCTCCCCCTCACTCTCGTTTTGGGAAGCAGCCCAAGGTGAATCCCGAACCCCCCACTCTTTGTTCCCGCTATGTTTCACGAATCCAGAGGAGGCCGACGCCGCCTGGACAGAATCTTTTCCCCCTCTCTCGTTCCGTCTCTCTCTGAGTTCGTAGAAGTAAGGAGGCTGGAGCCCCCTCTGTCTATTTCATCTTGTCCGTGAGCCCTAGACGGAGCAGCCCCCGATCTCTCTCTCTGGATTCCGCTCGTTCTGCTCCCCCTCGGTTCGCCTCTCGTCTACAAACAAAGAGGCAGAAGAAATCAGAAATCCCCAGCTCCTGTCCGACCCCAGCCAGGCCGAACCCGAACTCTTGCTTTTGGCTTCGCACGCCTGAACCAGATCCGGAGTCGTCTGGACCGCCGACTTCCCTACTTCCGACGCCTAGACCTACCCGAGCTCCTTCTTTTTGCAAGGTGAGCATTTCCCCTTTGTTCTTCTTCTTCCTTTCTTTTTTTTTTTCCCTATTCCTTTCTCTTCTTCTTCTTTACTTTATTTTCTATTATCCCCTTCTTCCTTCTTAGTCCAACGGTTATGTTTTCTCAAATCTATTGAAATAAAATGGTTTAGGTTGTTATTTCAAAGGGGTTGGATAATGCATTCATCATCATTTCTTTTCGCTTAGTTTTGTTATCTCTACTTATTAATTCAATGGTGTTCTGACTCCCTTGAGTAGGGGTGATGGTTATTGCTAACCACAAGTGATTTTGTAAGGTGCAGATGAATGTGGGTTGATTCGTGTTGTTTTGATAGTAAACAGTTAATGAGACTCATGTGATCTAGGAGCTTTAGGTGCGATATGGCTATACATCTAAAGAAATTGTTTTACATCATTTCTTAGACCTCACATACTAGTCATTTGATTAAATACATTGGAAAGATTGTGTTTCTGCTATCATGCCTTTTATTTGGGTATCACTCATACAAAGCTTTGTTGCTTAGCTTGGTTATGTCACTGGTCTACTAGTTGGTGAAAACTCTTATGTTTATTACTTGGTGGTCATTTAATTGTTGAATGATATGTGATTTGGAAAAGATAGTGACTACTATATTTAGTTATATTTAGTTCATACTCTACTGAAATGATGAAATATTGAGAATAGGATGTGTTTTGTGATGAAGTTTGGGCTTCATGGAGCTATTTTTGCCATTCACTAAGGTATGCATATAAATTGTTTGCGATAATGCCTCTTGGAGGAGATGTATGTTTAGATATAATGATAGTAGAGATTTGTTATATTTTGATTCAATACATGATAAATCTTGTGACAAAATTTATCCTATTAGTACATACACATATCACTTATTCTACGTGGTGACGAACATGCTATTCCTTGAGAAGATATTTTCATACCATAGTGATTGTTGATGGGGATTGTTATCATGATTTCTTGTATAAACTTTTCATAAAAAAAAAGTTGTATGATGTAGAGATTGCCAGTCATGCTAATGAGCTTCCATGTGCTTTGTGTCCTAGTTGTGATTCATATGTTTATAATATTCCAACGAAAATGAGTCTATTTGATTGAGAGGTTCATGTTAACAAATGCTTTGTATGCACTGTTCCTTTCATACCTTACACCTGCATGAAAAGTAATTTCTATTTGGTGGAGCTCTTGAGAATCCCTATCATGAGCATTGAGAACATTAACGTTGTATGCATGTAACTTTGGAGAATTCTGCCTGAAAGATTTATTGGGTCGGCATTAAACTATGCTCTTCTTAATTCCCTTTGGTTTATATCAGATGGAAACGAGATGATGAGCTTTCTTTATGCTTTTGTGGTTTTGTTAAATTTTATGTGAAAATCATATTGACGATTGTGGTGGAATATTTTGTGATGCATTGGAGAGCAGGTTTGACATTAAAAAATCTCTCCTCTTCTCTTTACCAATAGCATGGGAATTGATTTTGAATCCTTGGTCAGAATGTTGGATATTTGGCATGAGAGTAAGTTTATGGATTTGGGTATGTTTGTTTGGAGCTCTTCATAGCATGTGGTACAAAAGGAGAAAGTTGGTTGAGGGAACTTTATGTGTTTTTTTTCTATAATTAAATGGTTTCATTGCCGGAGTTTGAAAATAGTATAAAATGATCATGAGTTTTATATCTTTTTCGTCACCATGAAAGCATAACATTAGTATTGGGTTTTGGCAAGAATCAATGTTATGAAAGCATGAACTTTATCACATGGGAAAGGTAATCCAAAGCATGAATTGTAATAAACTTTGTTGTTCTCCAAATTACATGTTTGCAAGCTCATTTTGGATATTTGTTGGTATATAGTATGTAAGATTGCTCCATGATAGAAAAGTTTTAAGAGCTAGTTTCAATTCAAATTCATATGCATATATGTTGTGTTGAGAAAAATTTCAAAAGTATTTTCTTTATGGTTGAAATTTGTTTTATTAAAAGTGATTTCATGCGGAGAAATGTTTTGTGTTGAAAGGTTTCATAAGTGACTTTATGGTTGTAAGCTTTATGAAAGTTTTGTAAATCAATTTGCGTCGAAAGACTTTCGATGGATTTTTTATGAATGCTTTAGTGTTAAAACCTAAAACTAATTTCTTAATTGGCTTAAATCAAACCTTAATTGATAATAAATCATTTAATCCACATTTTCTTTTAATTTATAACCAACAAAATAATCAATCGAATAATAAGAAAATATATCCTTAAAATCAATCCTAAAATACTAATATTTAAACTTCAATTAAAATCTCCCTTTCGCCCTCTAACAAATTAAAAATACAAATAATTCTAACTAAATGATCCTACATAGGATCTATCCAAAACCACACAGCCTGTTACACACCCCTTAGACTTGTTTGGTTAGGACACGACTTCTAGACATAAGTTAGGCTGACATTTTCTTTCATTATTCAGTATTTACTACATGCACATGCTTTATAATTGTTATTATTAGATTTCCTGTTTGTTACATTCTTATTTACATGCATTTTTTTTTTTTTGAATGGCATCTACACTCATTTGTGTATTTTTCATTTATCTTATCTTACGAGGTACATTGAATCTTGATGGTCGAGAACTAAAGAGGAGCATTTGCTTAGGAACTTTTAAGTGGCCACGCCACAATCGGGGAGTATTTGCTTATAAGCTTTTAAGTGGCAGTGCCACAATCAGGTATGATCTCTGCAACTTGTAAAGCAATTTATTTTAATTACATATCGAAATTGCTACACATCACACACGACTTGTTAATAGGTATTCTAGCATGTTTAGGTAGCTGGCCTTAGGGTAGTTCACTAGCGAAGCTTTGGCCCTATAGGTCAAAGCTTGCCCCCCTTCTGTGAACCCTAGAGACCATTAGGGTCATTTAGGCCTGTAGAGTAGGCCACTTATTTGTGCCAGTTTGCATCGTTGTTTTCCCACACGAAGTGGGCATCGTTGTTTTTCTGCTAGGATTTTGGCCTCTTCTGGTTTTTGGTATGATACCCCCCACCTTCTGTGAGCCTTAGAGACCATTAGGGTCATTTAGGCCTGTAGAGTAGGCCACCTATTTATGCCATTTGGCATCGTTGTTTCCCCACATGAAGTGGGCACCGTTTGAATGATTTTCTGTGCGGGTACCTTGACTGGAGGGTATCCTTAGGGTGTGTTTATTTATTTATTTATTTTTACTCTGGATGTCATGCATACGTTCTTACACACTTTTCTCCATAATGCACTTTACCTACATACATGCATTGCATTAGTAGACCTAAGGATCTTTCTTACTCGTGCATTTGTCTCATGCATCATTAACAACGCTAGATATGTTCGTTTGCATATTGTAGAGTCCCTGATTTAAATCTTTTGAACTATTAAACCTTGATCCCTTAGGACAGACCCTTCCCATCTTACATACATATAGGACGATTGGTTGTGCTTAGGATTTTAGCTGGCTTCCCTTTTCAGGCCGGGATATAAGTCAAAGACTGCATTAGTTAGGTCGTAGATGCTAGTGTTGTGTGTACGACACTACATCTTTTATAGATTTAGGGTCTAAAGGTGAGTGGTATGAGTGTACCACTATACGCCTTATTGGTGGGTAAGCTCTCCATTCTTTCGGAAGCTATAAATCCTATCCATCCACATCACGCAGATGACGCCACTTCCCTCTTTCCCTCTTGCATGTCTGAGATGCGTTGTCTCTTTCTTTTCTCCAGTTTTCTCTTTTTTGAGCTGATCGGTTGTTGACTGAACCATGTGTGATTGATTGAACCATGTTGGGACCTTCTTCCCCTTTGATTAGGAAAGCCAAGAATTTTTCCTTTGCACTAAATCCAATTGAGAAGATAATCTAACATCCTTAATCAAGAGTTTTCTTAGATCAAGGTCTAAGATGTAATTAACTACGGGGGCTTGCGCCCGTAGGAAATTGATCCCCACAATCAAATGAACCCCATTCGAGCCGATGCATCGAATGGGGGAAATCTTGTGAACTTTTGAGTTATAGATATTATTATCCATCAAGGTTGGTAGGTGAAAGCCGCTATCCTCCATGGCTAATCGTATCTATAACTCCATCTGCTCTTCCATCGGCCTGCTTGTGTCGATTGTAAAGGTCTACGACCACTTTGTCCTACGGGATAGTGTGATCATACCCTTTTCATTCGAACCACATGAGTAGAATCCTTTTGGAGACCCACAGATTTCTGGCGACCACAGTGGGACAGGTTTCTCTCTCCATCTTCGGATGTTAAATTATCTTCTCTTGTGTGCACTCCGGGTTTGGTGCTCCTTAGATTAGGTTCGTCCTTCTCTTAGATAGGGT